AACATGCCTAGCATGCATGAAGCCCTGCGTTCAATTCCTCAGTACCACAAAACAGGAAAAGCAAGAAGTGGGGTTGTGGCTCAAGTGGTAGAGCACTATCTTTGAACAAAAGCAGCGAAGGGACAGAGACCAGGCCCTGAGTTCAAGCCCCAGGACTGGCAAAAAAAAACAAACAAAGTTGTTAATTTCCTATTGCTTCAATCCAGTATTTGTGACTAAATATAGAGAAAATTAAAAGGAGATATACACAGGTTAAACTATGGCAGAGAGAAGGGGGAAAAAAACAAGAAAGAAAATGAAGATTAGTCAGATGCTGGTGGCTCATGCCTGTAATCCTAGATATTCAGAAGCTGAGATCATGGTTCAAAGCCAGCCTGGCAGGCAATTCTGTGGAGACTTATCTCCAACTGAGCACCAGAAAACTGGAAATGAAGCTGTGACTCAAAGTGATAGAGTGCTAGCCTTGAGCAAAAAAGCTCAGCAATAGCTCCCAGACCAGCCCCATGGCTGACCAAAAAAAGGGAAGACTATCGGAAAGAAAGGAGGCAAGAAAGGATGAGAGGAGGAATATGTAATAGCATATATAACATGATTTTCTTATAATGTGGTATTTTTATGTATACATATGAAGGGGCCTTTGGTTAGATGCAAACCCCTCTGTGGAGGCGGGCGAGCTAACATAACAGTACGCTCCTCTTCCATACTTGTGTCCTGTCCCTCGGCTCCTCCCACGATGAAACCACAAAATGATTTGGGGCCAGGTACGTTTTCCCCCATTTCCAACTCTCTGGTGGGTTGAGTCTTCACATTTGGAAGCTGGGAGTTAACAGACTGCTTTTGTTCAGGCCTGCCCCACTGAGGTCCAGGTTTGGAAGGTGTAGATGCTCCAGAAAAAGAGAATAAAAAGACTCTTATTTAGAAATGGTGCAAACAGAAAACCCTAAGTCCCACATTTCAAAGTCTGCCTTGGCTAGTGATTGCTGTTGGGAGTCAGAAGCCACAAGCCTACCAGTAGTTTAATAAGGAAACTTAACAGAAGGAGAAACTGTTGACACTGTTGCTTTTAAATAGACAAAGCCAGTATAGTTTCTAAACAAATAGCTAAAGAAAATGCTAGTCATTTCACACCCAATTGTAGTAAAAAATCAGGCTAAATTAGTACCTATTTGTATATTATCATATACTAGTTTTAGTCTAAGTTTACTATGTTGTTTTGTTTTTTTTTTTTATCGGGTCATGGGGCTGGACGCTGTCCCTGAGCTCTTCAGCTCAAGGCTAGCGCTCTACCACTTGAGCCACAGCGCCACTTCCAGCTTTTTCTGCTTATGTGGTGCTAAGGAATCGAACCCAGGGCCTCATGCATGCAAGGCAAGCACTGTACTGCTGAGCCACCTTCCCAGCCCCAAGTCTAAGTTTACTATGAAAGTGCTTTCTTATCATATTGAAAAGCCTTAAGAGTACATAAAAAGATTCAGAGACATTTATAAAGCAGGCTAGCAAAACTGGAACTTGTATTTTCTTTTAATGAAGGTGTCCAGGAAGCTTACTGTGTTTATTTCCATATGTTTATACACTTCATATCCTTTCATTGCTAAAGGAAGTACAAAAAGAAAATTTGAAGATTTTTTAAAAGAACTTGAGCCTGAAACACAAAATGGGACAAGATGTTCTATTTGCAAAGGCATAAAGTCACCCTTTGAACAAATGACTTTCCTCTTGAATATTTAAATGACACATAGACGTCTATTCTGTGTTGCCCATGCTATCAGCCGACTCACATGTGGGCCCTTGGCCACAGCCCTGTTACAGTGGAATCCATGGCACAACCGGAACTGCCAAGCCCACTCCATCCTGATACTTTCTTAGGGTTTCGTAGAGGGTGTGTGTGTGTGTGTGTGTGTGTTGGGGAGGAAGTTGTTGGAAGGACATACGTCAGCACAAGGAGGCCATGAGTCATCTACAGATTCTGCGGTTGTCCTGGATGTTTAGCCTCGATCTGCTGTGCTCCAGAGACGGCTATATAAATAATTTTTTGGGGGGGAGTGAGTTGGTCATGGGGCCTGAGCTCTGGGCCTGGGCGCTGTCCCTCAGCTCTTCAGCTCAAGGCTAGCGCTCTACCACTTGAGCCACAGCACCACTTCTGGCTTTTTCTGCTTATGTGGTGATGAGGAATCGAACTCAGGGCTTCATGCAGGCAAGACAAGCACTCTACCACTGAACCACCTTCCCAGCCCTGATAAATAATTCTTGAGCATCACCCTGGAGAGCAACAGACCACAACTACATGAGGGGCTCAGAAAACAAGGCCCTGCTGCTGCCCCTTCTCCCTCCAGGGACAGTAGGTGACAGGAAGGTTTCGGCCCATTCTCAACAGGCATCAACCACCATCCTGCCGCACACTAGAGGGAAAATGTCCCACTCTCCTCCCTCACTAGGAGTCCCCATGCTCTCACTCTTGATTCAGGTACACACAAATGAAGTCACTGGCCACAGTCCACCAACAGTCCAGGAGCTAACCCAGCGCATGTGAGAAGGCTAGAAGTTGCTAAACTCTAGAGTTACAAATACTTAAATTTATTACAAATACGAAAGAACCACAAGCGTGAAAGGACCATGGTAGCAATGAGGGTGCGTTAATTCCAGGGTCATCCCAGGCTACGGCTGGGCTGTTGGAAGAGGACGTGTGGAGACAGGGAAGGTGACACAGGGTGGCAAGGCAAAGGCCAGGAAGCCTGTGCTGCAGGTAGAAAGGTCAGAGAAAGGGAACTGCTTAGAACAAACCTAAGTCTAATGAAGAACTAAACCAAGTCAGTCTGTGCCAGCTCTATTGTTCCCTCTGGAAGGAAAAACAAAGCTTTTTTTTTTTTTTTTGCTGGTTGTAAGATTTGAATTCTGGGCCTGGGTGCTGTACCTCAGCTCTTTAACTCAAGGCAAGTGCTCTACCACTTGAACCACAGCACCACTTCCAGTTTTCTGGTGGTTTGTTGGAGATAGGAGTTTCACAGACTTTCCTGCCCAGGCTGGCTTTGAACTGCAATCCTCAGTCACATCCTCCTAACGATCTAGGATTATAGGCAGGAGCCACCGGCGCCTGGCTACAAAGCCTTTTCTGTTGAATTATGTTATATAGATTTCCCCAAAAAACTAGCTGTGATATTTAACAGGAGGGGTTAAAAAAAACTTCCTTTCTTTTAGTTACCCCGTAAGCCTCTTAATCCTGGTATCTTTTTCCTAATACCATTTGTCACCACTCAACATGTATTTTGTTTGGCTATCGATTTGCTGTCACATATTGACCCCACACATGCACTCGCAGCACACAGGCAAGCATCCAAATGCCAGGAGAGCAGAACTTGGTCTCTGGGTTTCTATCTGCAATAGGGCTTACAGGGCCTGGCACAGCTCAACACGTCCTGAAGTGAATGGAGGGGATGACTCCATGATGGACCAATTACACCAAATACAGTACTGCTTGTAAGTTGTGCTTTAATCTCTGCAATCAGACATGACGCAGTGAGATACAAGTATAAACTTTCATTATACATCAGAACATAAAAGCACATTTGTACAGATCTTGCCCAACAGCTTATTCCCTTTAAAAAATTGAATTTGATTAAAGCTAGTTTATCTTCAGTGTAAAAACTTGGAGGTATAAGCAAACTTAAGATATTATATACAGTAAGTTATTATTGTACATTTCCAAACTTGCACAGTGCAGCATTTTAAACCAAGTAAATGGTCTCATTTCAGCTTTTACTATTAAGCATGTCCACATCTCAATCTGGAATAAAAATTTCACAATATATAAACTCACTGAGAATTCTGTACACAAATACAAGTTATAGAAATCTCATTTCAAATATAAATACATAGTCATGACCTTGCGTGCTACAATAGCTTGCTTATTTTCCTATTGTGAATTTAAAAAAATTATAGAAAAATATTTCAATGCACATTCAACTGTTATGATAAAAGCCAGGACCTTGTGCCTTTAAACTACACTGTATGGAGTGTAAGGCATCACACTAAAAACTTTTGGAATGGAAATTAGTAAGACTGGAGAGACAATAATATAAATATTCACGTTATAATAGTAACAAAATAGTTAGGCCCATAGGGTATGTGGGAGGCAATGGGGTGGCAAAGTAGAGGTTAGTGCTGGCTAAGAAGGCTCACAGAGCACATGTGAAGGTAGCTAAGGAAATAGCACACTTTAAACTCCCGTGGCAAGCCTAACATGGACCCGGCCTGTAAGACTCTTAAGGCAAGCAAGATTGAGCAGGAAGCCTGCCCTCCCCACAACCTGCCATCTCAATAGCCTACAGGCCTCACTCTGCACTCGTGCAGAGAAGAAGAGCAAAATGATTGTATGTACAAAAGACAGTTCAGTGCAAATCAGAAACTCTTTGTGAATCGTTTCAAGATTTCTTACTGCTCTTGAGCAAGCAACTGAGAGTTTTTCTAAATAACTAACATTCAAGTTGGGATTTTTCCTGGACAGCAAATACATATAAAAGGCAAACATTCATTTAAAACATTCTAATATGATTTTTTAAACTTTATTTTGCAGGATTTGGCAGGGCTCTATTGAGAATGAAAATACTGGTCCTTAAAAAGTATACTTTCACACATTAAAAAAATATATATCATTTAGACAGCAGATCGAGGAAGGTGACCAGGCATAGGCGAGTTTCTTCTATGGCTTTTGAAATCACTGAGGTATCCTGTGATAATCACCACTTCAGACACGTCTGCTTAACTGCTTTCCTACGAAAGCCACATTCAAATGGGACCCACTCCAGCTTCTGTGAAGGGAACGGAGAAGACTAAGGGCTGCAGACAGCACAGAGGTGTTCTAGTCCTCAGGATGCAATTTGAGAAAAACAAAGCAAGTTGTTCAAACACTGTTCTCCAAAGGATTAGAAGCTCCTGTGGGCAAACAAAGATCTCCTTCCCCCTCCTCTCCCCGCCTCCCCTCTCCCCTGCCCCCGCCCCCCCAAGTGTAAATGCTGGCTTAGCAGCAAGACACTGGGCTATGTGAGCCAAGGTGCATGGAGCAGGAAGAGGAAAGACCCAGAGCTGTCAGCACAGAACAAAGGGCAAGTGGTTGGCTAGTCCACACTCTACCCCTCCACTCCCATCCCCATATCGCCATAACAATCCAGGAAGGAGGGAGGAGGGGCTGAGTGTTAGCATGAGCCACACCAGTGGCATTTCCTAGTTTTCCTATAGAGAAGGGAACAGAGAAAGGGAAAATGCTAGGGTTTAAGTAAATATGTCTATTTCTATATTTCAGTTCATTCAAATACCACATAAAGCTGACCTTGCTCCTGACTGAGACAGTTATACAGAAGTTATATTCTCAATGTTTAATTATATTATCTTGGCACAGAAAGGATCAGAAGAAAATATCAAGCCCATGAATATCTTACTGAAGCTTTTTCCAGTAATAAACCAGCCATTCCAGGTTCTGTGAAATTGGCCATAATCCTATGACAGGTCAAGTAGAGATCCCTTCCAATTAGTAACACTATAGAAATTACAGTCTTTCAGAACTGTGAAATACTGACCAGTTCTTTTCCTAAAGGCCCAGGTGTTCTCCATCAGAGCACTGGGCTGACTCTCAGCATGTGCGTGATGAAGTCCCAGGATCAACAGTCCCAGCCTACCTTCACAACCACTGAACATACAATCATACATCCCCAAGATCCACAAAGTCATCTTCTCGTTTGGCCAGATCTTCTTCATCTTCCAAAGCTTTCCAGCCACTGGTGGGTAAGACAGGCTTGGATGAATGCCGCTGGAGCAGAGCGAAAGGAAACAAGGAGGACAGGCGGGCAGAGTTCCTCAGCAGGCAGGAGGCCTCTGCATGCCGGGTCTCTGCATGGAGGGCTGCCTGGCTCGGATGTCTCTCGTTGATTTTCTCCTGTAAGTCCTGGACTTCCTCCATCATTTCCAAGAGTCTGCTCATAACGGCCATTCTGCCACCACCTAGGATTTGGGCTTCTGGAATCCAACGCAAGTAGCGCTGAGCCCAGACTCTGATCTCTGGTCCCTCGATGTGAGGCAACAACAAACCATGGTAGTCGGTGGGCTTGCTGTGCCAGCTGTCATAGAACTCTCGAAAGCTGTCTTGCAGCTCATCAGAAGAATTAATAAGTTTACTAATTCTCTTGCCCAGAAGGTTTTTAATTAAGTGATCTGTCTCTTCCCTGAAAAATCCTCTTTTGGGAGATGACTTAGACTGGGTAAGTGGCAAAGAAAGTTGTCGTTGATGCTTTGAGAGAAAACACAAAAAAAGAACTTGTGGTTAACACAGAGACATGGCTATTGTTGTTACCATTTTGTTTTAAAGGGCATAATCCTGGTTTAGAAGGAATCAAGAGACTTTAGAACTTTCATGTAAATACATATTCATTAACTGCTGTGGGACACAGAAAGGAAAAGGTACATATTTATTCTCATTATGTTCATGCTTGATGCACACTGCACATAATGGGGGAAAACCAGGACCATGGGGCAGCCATGCAGAAAGGTATGCAGGGACAGCGAAAGTGGAGCTACTGACCCTCTGCTGAGAAAAGGATTGCAAAGGACACACTGGCTTAGGATAGATCAATGATCTGAGTGTTTCGGGAAAATGCCTGTTCACATTTACAAACAGAACCAAGTGTTTCTTTAGGGCCATCAACTGTTGCAACATTCTAAACACCTGCAGGGAGGCAACTCTGGCTGCCTGGAAATCCTATCATGTGAATCAAATAACTTAATAGCTTACCTGGCATTCAGTAAGAGTTTAAGCCGAAGTCATAAAGATTCTTTTGGGCAAGGAAAAAAAGCAGGTGGAAGCAAAGGAATTTTAAATGAATCAGCTAAATTAGCCAGACTTTTTTTTTGCCAGTTCTAGGCTTCAACTCAGGGCTTAGGAACTGCCCCTGAGCTTCTTTTGCTCAAGGCTAGCACTCTACCACTTGAGCCACAGTGTCACTTTTGGCTTTTTCTGTTTATATGGTACTGAGCAATGGAACCCAGGACTTCATGCATGCTAGGCAAGCACTCTACCACCAAGCCACATTCCCAGCCCTTAGGCCAGATATTCTTATCTGACAATCTGTATGTAGTAGAAACTGTGGGAGCATTTAATTTTTTTACTCTTTGGTAATTCTCTCTGTAGCAAAGCAAGGTGCTGTATTTTGGAGGACACAGTGAGAGGCCTTGGAAGATGAGTTAGCAAGTGTGGGATCCCCTGACCAAAGGAGATGGTGGAACAGGTGAGGAGGAGATGCATTTCCCTGACTCCTGTTCTCATAAGAGGTCCATTTAAAGTAAGACTAAAACAATGATTTCCAAGCTAGTTCTATCATTTTCTAACATATTTCTGCCAGTAAATTTTTTATAATAGAAATATGTAATGGAATACAGGATAGCTTTAAATCAGAAAGAAAGTAATACAATTCAGGGCTTTGGACTTTCTGCCCAGGGTCAGGAAAGATGGCAGGCCAGGGGCCAGTGGCTTCTCTCCTCCACAATGATCAAGGTGGGATGGGTGGGATTAGAGAACGCAAGGGAAACCCAACTCTCACGAGAGCTCACTGCCTGCTGGGTGATGTTCTGAGTGCTTTACATATATTGACCTACAAAACTCTACATCTCTCTTATCGCCCCATTTCACAAATGAGGAAACTAGGCTCAGCGGTTAAATAATCTGCCAAGGGCACCAGCCACCAAGTGTCAATGACAATTTTGAGCACAGCCTGGCTTCAGAGCCTGAGCTCTTAGCTGAACTCTATTCTATTGGTGTTAGAAGCCCTCAACTCCCAATCTCCTAAGTGAACGGGACATCCGAGATGGATCAGGCTGAAGCCTGGGGCTACCGCCGAGACACCACTGCACACCTGAGTGAACGCGACTCTCAGGTGGCATTTCAGGGAGCAGCAGTTCAAGCTGCTCAGTCTCTGAAGAAATTCACCAGGGCTATGTCCACTCAGCAAGATGCCAAGCTCACTTGATTTTCTTACCAAGGTTTCAAGTGCTTTGTTGCCCAGATCCAACTCTGCTTTATTTACTCAACCTGAAAATTTCCAGCACTTTAGCTGTCAGCATCTGCCCCTATCTTTAAGAAGGACAACTAGAAAAATGGACTGAGTAGACAAACCCATTTTTTTGTTTTTTTTTTTTGCTTATGTGGTGCTGAAGAATCGAACCCAGGGCCTCAGACATGCAAGGCAAGCGCTCTACCACTGAGCCACTTTCCCACCCCAAGAAATCCGTTCTAAGAAGGTAGATCGTTAGTTCCCTCCCATCAAATAAGGGGAAGGCCTAGCTGTCCTGGAGGTCTCTGGCCCCACAGGTACCAAGCAGTTCTGTAGTCCCAGCCCACCCCTTTTGAGAAGCGTGCAGGTAGCCACCAGGGGGCACAACACCCTGGTGAAGAGTTGAGCTCTGTCCAACTTGCTCCAGGGCTCAGCAGTGCTGGTCAAACTAACAGAAAGGAAACCGAACCCAAGGAAGGACAGCCAGTGTCGGGACGACAGCTAAGAGTTCGTGAAGCAGCAGTTCTGAGTTCTTTGTCATCACTGGCAGTGACCATGACAAAGGCATTGCTTGACTTCGGCTCGTGCAGGTTGTTCCTGTCCTTAGAACAGAACGACCTCCCACACCAGAGCTGACTGGGCTCCCTGCAGTCCCTCCCTGGAGCAGGATGGGAAGCACAATGATAGAGAAGATGGTGACATTCACTCGTGACCCCCCCCCCTTTGAGACCTGCCTTTGTGGTCTCTACTCGTGAGAAATTCCAGGCCAGGAGACAGAGCTAGAAAAATGCTGTTTAAGAAATTGATCAGTTAGGGCACTTTGACGTACAATCAGGAACAAATACCTGCAAGAAAAACAAATAGTTGATATTTGTAGCTGGGGCCCACACTGTAATCTTTACTACTCAGGAGGCTGAGATCTGGAGGACTGTAGTTTGGAGCTAGTCCAGGCAGAAAAGCCTGAGACTCCATCTCAACCAGCAAAAAAGCAGGGCTAGAAGTATGGCTCAGGTAGTAGAACAGCGGCTGAGGAAGTGAGCTGAAAAGTCTAAGGTCCTGAGTTTTAATCCTAGTATCACCAAAAACTAACAACAACAAACAACAGGAAAAAAAATTAAGATTTGATATTTGTGGCTTAGAGCATGGGTTGGCTTATGGCCAAATGCAGCACAGCACCTATTTGTAAAAACGGAATACAGACATGGCTGTGTCTGCATTATTTGTAAGAGGCTATATGGCCTTTCACAGAAGCTTGCCAACTCCTGGATTATAGGTTTAGTGATTAAGAAAAGTCTTACTGTATAATACACAAACTGGCATATATTGAGTAAACCCTACTAGATCACTGCTCCCTTTATTCTGCTAAGTACCCACAAGGTTGGGTCAGAAGCAAAAGACTATGAAGCAGGATGACAGCAGTATCCTCATGGCCAATCAGCAATCACCTCTCCTCAGGGCAAAGGCTGATTTGCTCAAAGTTCTTCTAATGGACCACAACTTGACCATCATCAATCAATCATGACTTCACACCATTTCAAAGGGTAGAATATACATTGACTGACAAAATCCATAAGGAACGTTTTATCTTTATATACATGGAGTCAGGTGATGGGGAAGATGAAATGGGGTTAGACGTAGACATCTTACTTTGAAACGCATTCCTTTCCGTGGGCCTTTGTCCGGCTTTGGCTTTTCTGCATAGAGAGGGTTTCTAAGCAATGTCTGGGCTTTGGGTTCAAACTGTACAGACCAATCCCACACGGTGAGCAGATTCAAAGGCTTGCTTTGTGTATCCAAGCTTTCCCTACCCTGCCAAAACAAGCACAGGTCACCATGGCTTCCAGGGAGGGCTGGGGAAAGCAAACACATATTCTCAGAAACAGGCACCAGGAATGTGCTCCTGCACATTTTCTAAGGCCGGGGCTACCAACGGCTATTCACCAACAGTCTTCACGGGGGAAGGGACAAGGGGAAATGATGCTTATTTTCAATGGACCCCAAGTCAACCAGTGGGCCGAACACTTTCACAAGCTTGTGAGGTGACCACTATGTTTTCCAAATTTATATTAGAGGAAACTGAGGCCCAGAAAACAGAAGTGATCTGCTTAAGGTCATGAATCTGATGAGCTGCAGGGCTGGAGTCTAAAAGCCCAAGTTCAGTTGTTCCCACTTCACTGTGAGACTTGGGAATCTTATCAATTCAAGCAAGCCCTTAGGCCAGGAGAAGGCTGGTGGGAGGCACTAAGCTCAACTTCCAAGTTTATTCCCTGCAAAAGAGGCTCTGGAGGGACTAAAAGGCCTTAGAAGCCTAGTCAAAGTCTGGCTTCCAGTCCTGCTGACGGTCCATTCTCATCACAGAGTAACTCCAGGCATCAAGCTAATGGAGAGAGAAGACAGCTCGTCTATCTTCCAAAAGGATAACTTTTAAGTTGGCACAATCTCCCAACCCTAATACTTTCCAGATCAAATATTTACTGTTGGCCTGGATAGTCAGGCTTTGTATCTTACCTTCCTCAGAGATAATACACATCCCAGAGGGTGCTGTAAGGGCTAAAAACTTTTCCAGATATGAATACAAGGAAAGCATCTAAAATAATGCCAGGTATATAATCGACGTTAAACAAATGTCACATTTAGCATCGGTGTCATCACACTGTTTGTGAGAGGCAGTGTCTGGCACACAGGTTTCTAGGAGGGATTCTTACCATGTTAGTGTCTTTTTGATGAGGTGAATTGAAGAAGAAGGTGCTAAAAATAGGTATATACAGGCTATCTGACAAGACGGTCAGATAAGTCTCGGTGAATTCAAATGCTGGGGTATGCTGGTGTACCAGCTGCCAGACACAATCTAAGAAAAGCAGGAACACAGGAACCTACGTGAAAACAAGATCCATGTTATTCAGAAAGCACTGCACCCAATGTAAGCTGCCTGAACTGAGTGGACGGCCAGCTCAAGAACTGTGGTGTGGCCACTCCTGAGCCCTTCCTTCTTTGGGAAACACACAACTCAATCCCATTCCAAGTGATAAACAGATGAATGAAAAATGCTCAATTGAAGCCACATGCTCATAGATTAACATCAGTAACTGGGAGTACTGATCTGTGTCAAAGACATTGCCAAGATGAAGTAAAATTTCTTACAGATCAACATTCACAGGTGAGCATTTACAATTGATTTCGATGACAGAGAACAGTAACTTTGAAACCCCAATTAGAAGAGATGTCTCCCCCAAAAGGATTCTATTCTTGGGGCTGGGAAGGTGACTCAGTGGTAGAGCGCTTGCCTTGCATGCATGAGGCCCTCGGTTCGATTCCTCAGCACCACATAAGCAAAAAGAAAAAAGCCGGAAGTAGCACGGTTACTCAAGTGGTAGAGAGCTAGCCTTGAGCTGAAGAGCTGAGGGACAGCACCCAGGCCCAGAGTTCAGACCCCATGACCGCCCCCCCCCCAAAAAAGGATTCTATTCTTATCTATAGTGATAAACTGTAAACAACTACTTAGTGATGATTATTTTAAATATTGTCAATAGTGTGTGTGTGTGTGCGCACGTGTCTGGAGGGGGCAGTTATGCTACTGCCTACCCACGTGCTAACTAACAGAATAAGGGTCAGAAGCTTCCCTTCTTCACCACTTGCCCTTCCCAGTGAGGGTCCCAAAGACAGAGGAGGGAAAGAAGGCAGAAGCAGCAAGAATAAGTTCCTAGCATGTTTTCACAATTTTTTAACCTTTATTAGCAACCGAGGCAAGCCCTTTATTATCAGAGACAGTGGTTTTAGGGTATGTTATCATTTGCAAAGTGCTTATCCTTCTCCCCCAACTCTCAATGATCCTACATGGTGGGCAAAACAAGCGACGTGACAGTGTGTCCCTTGAGAAGATTGGGGAAGCTGAGGTTTGTTGGTGAAGCTGGTAAGACAGAGGAGTTCAGAATTCAAGTTCTTGGATAGAAGACCAGTGTTGCTCCATTAAATAACAAATCAGAGTACCAAGTTTTCCTTTAAAACTTTTTTTTAAGTCTGAAACTGAGACTCAGTCAATACCTGATGCTTTCGCTCATTGGTTGGTGCTCTACCAACTGAGCCATCCCTCCAACCCTTCTTTTCAAATTTTTATATGTCAGTGCTGAGATGCTAAGAATCATTCATTCTGCAACTCTACTTCATACCTCGTATATCATTAATAGAACATACAATGTGTGGACCTAACTGTACAGTCAGGGAAAGGGGTTAGAAACAGGAGAGATCTTCCGAGGGCTGGGTAAACAAATCAAGCTCCTCTTGGCTTCTTTTCCCACTGGATCCGGTGCTTTTCTCTAGACAGGCAAAATCATACCCCTCTCCATACAATGTCATCTCTTTCAGCTTATCATGCTTCATGAATCTCATCACTTTTTAAATTAGTCTTCTAAATCCTTTCCAAGCATAGGAACAGCGAGTTCTCTACAGCTCAGTGGCACACAGAGGAGTACAGATTAGGCCTACTAACAGGAATCTATCAATCCCTGAAGGGCAGAGATCACAGCTCCTTATTCTCATGATAATTGTGCCAAGCTGTTCTGCACCATAGATAAAATATGCTGACTCTGTGAAATAAATAACACAAGTTGCACTAATAGTAGGTCTACTTTCATTTTCCTTCTACCAGTCACCAATGAAGTAGCTATGGGAGTTAACATAGCTGCCAAATATACCATCTGGAGGTGAACTAGAATGCTGAATCTCTAGCCTAACCATAGAGGCCCAGGCCTAAAGCCATTTACTTAGACAAAAGGAAGCTAGGCATGGTGGCACCTCCCTGTAATCCCAGCTACTTGGGAAGCAGGAAGATTTTGAGCTCAAGGTCAGCCTGGGCAATGTAGCAAGACCCAGAAGAGGCTGTGGCACAGTCCTGCACACCACTGACTATCTACTTATTGCAAAGTTTAATTTGCAGAATGTGTTGGAATCTGTCTACAACACACTGGGTTACTTTATATTTAAGTGGCACAAAGCCAACACTACTTCCACAACGAAATATATGCATACCTTCAGTGATGTAACTTAGAAGACTGTGAACATACTTGTTATAATACCTTTGTCCCCCAGGAAAGGTTTCAATACTACTTAAAGCATTTGAAATCAAACTCAAATGAGACACTCACATTGCAAACAGAAATCCCATATGTGAGGACTGTACTGAGACTAGGCAGTCTGCCCTGAGGAAACTCACCTCTTCTTTGTCATTCTGGCGGAGATGGTTGCAACGATCCAAGAAACAGTGGCCACCCATGACCCACTCCTTTTGTACAAGGCTCTGGAAACCAGTCCTGGTCCGACAGTGGGGGTCCATCATCACTTGTACCAGAGAGGAAAGGAGGCAGCAGAGGTCGGAGGCGTTCTCCTCTGGGAGGGCCATTAGCAATGCCAAGAGGAAGGAGGGCAGACAGTATTAAAGCTGTAGTGATCTCACATGCATAGGTTACAGTAGGTTCCCAACACTAAGATCCACTACTAAAAGCTCTTATTCCCTACAGCAGGGACCAGTGGAACACAAAGTGAGTTTTCAGAGCCGGACACACTGCTTCTAGCCTGTCTAGGGCAGGTTCTGGCATATGACGGTGCTCAGTATGGATATGCTCACTGAGTAAGTGAAGTACTAGAAATCCACTCCGGTCCATGGGCATCCAGATGTGCCATACAAGAGTGAAATCATGACAGGACAACCCGGCAGCTTCTAAGCAAGTGGAAATTCCTGCCTCTTGAATTCAAGCCTCACATTGGACTCACTGTTCCAAGGCTCAGTTACTTCTCACACCTATGAGCTCCACTCCTAATCCTATACTAGCTCAAGGCTAGCACTCTACTACTTGAGTCACAGTGCTACTCCGATTTTCTGGTGGTTAATTGGAGATAAAAGTCTCATGATGGGGCTGGGAAGATGGCTCAGTGGTAGAGCGCTTGCCTTGCATGCATGAGGCCCTGGGTTCGATTCCTCAGCACCACATAAGCAAAAAGAAAAAAGCCGGAAGTGGCGCTGTGGCTTAAGTGGTAGAGCACTATCCTTGAGCTGAAGAGCTGAGGGACAGCGCCCAGGCCCAGAGTTCAGGCCCCATGACCGGACCAAGAAAAAAAAAAGTCTCATGAACTTTCCTGTCCAGGCTGGCTTTGAGCCACGATCCTTAGATCTCAGCCTCCCGAGTAGCTAGGATTACAGGCATGAGCCACCGGTGCCCGGCTATGATCACATTTTAAAGCCAGAAAGCTCCTTCTTTTTTTGTTTGAGGAGCATGGATGCACCTGCTTTTCCTTGACTGGTCTAGAGGAGAAATTCTCCTTGGTCTGCTTTTATGTGCCCACCTACAATGCACTTCACAAAATCCCCACGGTAAAAGCCCATTCATATACTTATTTAACACTCAAGACTCAGAGAAAATAACACACCTACAGCCATGTATTTGTCTTTTCAGTTATTTGTCTTGTGGTACTGGGGAATGGATCCATAGCTTCTTGAGCCACATACCTATTTTCCTTCCTCTTTCCCTCCTTCCCTCCCCCTTTTCTTCCCAACACAGGATCTTGCTAACTTTGCCCAGGTGGGCCTCAAACTCAAGTCTTCCTCTGCCCAGCTACCTTAGAGTTTAAGAGTCTGTGAAGCCCTGAGTTTAAGCTCGATATTATTAAAAACCAAAACAATCCCCCAAACCCCAAACAATAAGAAATGCAAACTTTGTGTGTTAGGATGGCTTAAATGATCCCAAAGAAGCCATACAGAATAACTGCAGAAAAACACAAGAGAAGTAGTATGATATAAAACTGTATAAATTGGAAAGTGGAAATTTCATGAATTTATAAAAATTCTGAGTTTGCAATATTACCTTCACATTTCTGGCATTAATGCTTGCATTAACAGTAAGATAAGATGCTTACAGTTTCCACTTTAAAAGTAAAAAACCAAAAAACCAAAAAAGAAATGTGAGCTTTGCTAAAGATACCAAACAAATCCTTCTTGGGGTATGATAGCACTGCCAAGTTCCAAGAGAAAGAATTTTATTTTAAACTGTAATACTGAAATCCAAGGCAAGGGATTCCAAGGCTGAGGAGAAAGGAATGGAGAAGATTTTCATACTCATTTGTTCCATTTATACCACAAGTCCACTTCCAGTAAGTAACATGTACAAAAATTGAATCTGAAGTGAAGGAAAATGGAACCCATGCTTTGTGTTTTAAATATATTACCTAAAAGAAGAACGTTCATGTTTTGTGCTTCCAGACTTTCTGTAATCTCTATTGCTTTCTTCAGGCAACGTCTGAACAGAAAAAAGGCAAGAAACAGGAGCATTAGTTTGTGGGCTTAGTACTACCAGGGGTAGTTTTCCTCTTATATATATATTTTTTTTGCTAAAATCCTCCAGAAGAGAAAATAATCACCACTTACACTATTCAGATTCTGAGAGACACTATCTTTTCTTTTTCTTTTTTCTTTTTTGCCAGTCCTGGGGCTTGAACTCAGGGCCTGGGCTCTGTCCCTGAGCCTCTCTGTTCAAGGTTAGAGCTCTACCACTTGAACTACAGTGCTACTTCCGGCCTTTTTTATTTATGTGGTACCGAGGAATCGAACCCAGGGCTTCATGCATGCTACGCAAGCACTCTACCACTAAGCTACATTTCCAGCCCGTGAGAGACACTATTTTGCCTATTAGAAACTGAATCTGCCATACATATGTGCTGGCATACATATAAGGCAGAAAATTTAGAAAGGTATTTAGTGAAAAATCAATCTCCTAGTTCATCCTGTTTCCACCGGGAGGCCAGCGTAGCTGCCTCAGTCACAGGCTGGAGTTGTTAAATCTGATATTTTAGTCTTGAAATGTCTTATCTACAGAGTACATTTCCTTACAAACAGGTAGTATGCTGGTAAATTCCTACCAAATACGCAAAGAAACAATAAATAGCAAATGTATAATCTAGCTGGGCTCTGAGTAGAAATATGATCTAAGAATACTTAACTATGGAGAGTTTCATACAAGATGTTAAAGATTCTCAGAAGAAACAATTAATAGGTAGCAGAAAACAAGTAGTCAAGAAAGATATAGAAGAAATTCTTAAAAAGAAAATGGATAGAAGTGGAGGTGTAACCAAGGTAGTAGAATGCTAGCCCAAAGCATAAGTCCCTGAATCCAAGCCCCAGTACTGGCAACAACAACAAAAGGAAAATGAGACATTTAAGAATTTGGTAGACATTGCCATAACACTGATTCCTGTCATCCAGAACCATGTATGACTCTCAGTGTACTCTTGTCATCTTTTATGTCCTTCAACAAACAAAAGAATATTCCACTCTGAAACATCAATTATGTGTAAATTTGCTCTACTCAAATGAAACAATGTAAAATTTATGAGCAAAACAATGGTTTGAAATAAATACCTGATGATATCAAGCCAGCTGCTACTTTCTAGGAGAGAAAACCATTTTATATCTGTGTCCCAGAATTCAGTACTGTTATCTGAAAAAGAAAAAAAGACATCAGGTCATTGTTTACTGACAGCCTTTCAAAAAAACACTCATGATACTCCCCTGTGCAGTGCAGATCAGACGCAGCCTCAACCTGCAGAAGCTAGGCACAACACTCCATCATTTTAAGCAAAGAGCATTTTAAAACTTCAACTTGCACTGAAATAGTTTTGGAACTGTAGGTCTCTGAAAGGGTATAGCAGTCAAAGAGGTCTTTGTTACTGAAAGAAGAGATGCCTAGCCATGGTCTACCGTGTAATTCAACATGTTTTAGGAAGAAAACCATCAACATCAAGACTGCTATTGCTAGACAGGAAATAGGCAACCAAAGACTATGCCACCAAAGCCTAGACTCTTGTTTTTTTGGTAGTCTTGGGATCTGAACTCAGGGCCTTATACCTGCTAGGAAGGCACTCTGCCACTTGAACCACATCTCCAGTTCTTGTTTGCTTTTACTTGTTTTTCAAATAGGTTCTTGTATTTATGTCCAGACTGGCCTAGATCATGATCTTTATTTATTTTTTTGGTCAGTTGTGGGGCTTGAACTCTGGCCTGGGCACTGTCATTGTGCTCTTCAGCTCAAGGCAAGCACTCTACTGCTTGAGCCACAGCACCACTTCCGTTTTTTTTCTAGTGGTTTATTGGAGATAAGAGTCTCACGGACTTTCCTGACCTGGCTGTCTTTGAACCGTGATCCTCAGATCTCAGCCTCTTGAGTAGCTAGGATTACAGGTGTGAGCCACCAGCGCCAGCTTAGATCATGATCTTTCTACTTAGACTTCCTGTACAGCTGGTACGACAGGTACACCCTCCCCCCCATAAGCTTTTTATTATTGAGATGAGGTCTTGGTAACTTTTGTCCAGGCTGGCCTGCAAACTGTGATCCTCCCAATCTCTACCTCCTGAGTACCTAGGAGTAAAGATGTAAGCCACTATGGCTGGCTTTTTTTTCCTTTTTGAAACAAAGTCTGTGTATATAGCCTAGGATGTCCTCTAACTTAAGAGGTGTGAGTCATCACACCTGGCTTTGTAGAAGTTTGAATATGAGTTCATATAACTTGCATACGAGTATAATTTCCTCTTTATATCTCTTATAAAACAGAAACTCAGCTGGGCGCCGGTGGCTCACACCTGTAATCCTAGCTACTCAGGAGGCTGAGATCTGAGGATCACGGTTCAAAGCCAGCCTGGACAGGAAAGGCCGTGAGACTCTTATTGCCAATAAAAACTACCAGAAAACTGGAAGTGGCACTGTAGCTCGAGTGGTAGAGCGCTAGCCTTGAACTGAAGAGCTGAGGGAGAGCACCTAGGCCCAGAGTTCAAGCCCCACGACCGACAAAAAAACCCAAAACTCAAAACAAAAAAAACCCAGAAACTCTTGAATTTAACAAAGTATTAATTTAAAAATTTCCAACCAAGCCAACAAAAAAGAAAGAAAGAAAGAAAGAAAGAAAGAAAGAAAGAAAGAAAGAAAGAAAGAAAGAAAGAAAGAAAAGTTTCAAACCAGTTAAGTAGAGTAGTGCACACATGTAGTCTAAGCTACTTGGGAAGATAAAGTAGGAGGATCACTTGAGCCCAGGAGTTTGAGACCAATGTGGTAATATAGCAAGACCTCATCTCAAAATAATAACAATAACAATAATTCAGATCAACAAAAGATACCAGGGAATCGTGGGTGATTAAAATAAAACACAATTCTAAAATCACCATCTTGGATCAAATTGTCTTTTCTCCAGGTTCCTATTCTTTCTTTCTATTTTTTTCGGTTGGTCGTGGGGCCTGAACTCTGGGGCCTGGGCGCTGTCTCTCAGCTCTTAAGCTCAAGGCTAGTGCTCTACAACTTGAGCCACAGCGCCACTTCTGGCTTTTTCTACTTATGTGGTGCTGAGGAATCAAACCCAGGGCCTCATGCATGTAAGGCAAGCATTCTACCACTGAGCCACCTTCCCAGCCCCACTGGGTTCCTATTTCTTACTGATCTTTCTTATAGTAACCATCCCAACATTTTTATAGGCATATGCTGTTGCAGGGTAAATCCAGTCTGTGAGATTTAGAGAAGCCACATTTTTGAGAGGTCAAAATGGGAATCTTTACTGGAAAGCTCTGCATGGTAGACTATCATCTCAAAGACCAGCAGCCCTGAACAGAGCTTACACAAAGCCTTTCGTGTGTGTGTGTGTGTGTGTGTGTGTCTCTCTCTCTCTCCTGGGGTTTGAACTCTTTCGTGTGTGTGTGTGTGTGTGTGTCTCTCTCTCTCTCTCTCTCCTGGGGTTTGAACTCTGGGCCCGGTGCTGTCCCTGAGCTCTTCAGCTCAAGGCTAGAATTCTAACACTTGAACCACAGCGTCACTTCCGGTTTTCTGGGGTAGATAATTGCAGCTTTTTTTTTTTTTGGGTCCGGTCGTGGGGCCTGAACTCTGGGTCTGGGTGCTGTCCCTCAGCTCTTCAGCTCAAGGCTAGCACTCTACCACTTGAGCCACAGTGCCACTTTCCGGCTTTTTTCTTTTTGCTTATGTGGTGCTGAGGAATCGAACCCAGGGCCTCATGTTTGCAAGGCAAGTGCTCTACCACTGAGCCACCTTCCCAGCCCTGGGGTAGATAATTGGAGATAAAGGGTCTCATGAACTTTCCTGCCTAGACTGGCTTTGAACCACAATCCTAAAATCTCAGCCTACTGAGTAGCTAGGATTACAGGACAAAAGACTTTAAAGACAAAAACCATATGCTTGAGCTGAAGAGCAAGCATTACAAAAGCAGACCTTATATGGACATACTCAGGTACAAGCTCAGGTACCAGCAGAACTTTTCCATCAAGGGAAGATACACCTTAACTTTCCCATATAGGGGAAATCTTAAAGGCTACTCAGAATTGGGTGATTCAAGCCATTTAGAGAGGCAATCAAAGCAGAATCGGAGCATTCTCTATGCAAAGCTTTCCTAAGGCTCTGACATGCAGAAGCAGAGCTCTCCCAGCTCACCAGAATTAGGTCTGCAATTCAATGAATGGCCTCTCTCACTGCTAGGCTTTTCAGCACTGGGTGGAGAGCTCCCTCCACCAAGCAAGAGGCACCAGGACTCTGTTCCCCTCACTTCAATGCTTGTTTCCCTTATAAGAGCTTAGTTTTTTTTTTTGTGTTACAGTCACTTTTATTCCCCCTACCAATACCAGGGCTTGAATTTAGGACCCTGAACTTGCCCAGACTGATTGCTTAGCTGGTACTCTACCACTAGCGGCATGCCTTCAGCCCAACTTTTAGCTGGTTATTTTGGAGATGGAGTCTAGTGTACTTTCCTACTCGTGATGGCTTCAAACTCTTTCAGATCTTAAGTAGCTAGTATTAAAGGTGTGGGTCAGCAGTGCTTGGCTTCATATTCCTTTTTATCAGTAATGCTTGACATAATATATAGGGGAAATTAAATAAATGTCAGCTGAATAACCCTAAAATAGTTAAGAATTTACTAGGCTAAAATATCCAAGTTAGGAAAAAGTTACCTATAAGCATGACAAAACCTCACAGAGTAAAGACTCATTCAAGAATAAGAATTGGAGCCAGGCGCCGGTGGCTCATGCCTGTAATCCTAGCTACTCAGGAGGCTGAGATCTGAGGATTGCAGTTCAAAGCCAGCCTTGGGCAAGAAAGTCCGTGAACCTCTTATCTCCAATAAACCACCAGAAAACCAGAAGTGGCGCTGTAGCGCTAGCCTATTGAGCTGAAGAGCTGAGGGATAGCGCTCAGACCCAGAGTTCAAGCCCCACGACCCACACACACAAAAAAAAAGAAAAATTGGGTTGGAAATGGCTGAAGTGGTAGAACAGCTGATCAAAGCCCCAAGTACTGAAAGAAAAGAAAAGAAAAAAAAACAATGAGCCAGATGCAGTGGTTCATGCCTGCATTACTAATTACTTGGAAAGCTATGATCAAGTGGATCATGGTTCTGTTGTAAGGTGAGAAAACAGAGAAGCCACATTTTGATAGGTGAAATCTTGGAGTCGTTATTAAAAGGTTGCTGACTGCATGGTGGACTCCGGTCTCAAAGACCAGCAGCCAAGCTGATCTCTTAGGAAACTGAGCCATGAAGGCCAAGATGAAAGAAAGAACAAAACCAAAAACAATACCAACAAACCAATTCAGCTCCAATGGAGAGCCATGGGATGCCATGGTGACAGAGAAGAGCCAGGAGACAGGTCACAAACACGGAGACATATAGCATAGCGTAGTGGGGCCTGACCTGGTCTGGGCCTACACAGGGTCCCGGGGCAGGGCCATAGGAAACTCTCAGTTCCACGTACTGGACTGACAGGTTTAGAAAGTCCCCCAGCCTCCAGGGATTGAAGTGTGTCCATCACCTGAGGGGGGACTTCATTGTCCCCCGCCCCCACCATGAAGACAAAATGCCAGACCTTATATGGACATACCCAGGAACAAGCTCAGGTACCAGCAGAACTTTTCCATCTAGGGAAGACAGGACTCAACATCCAAATAGGGAAATCTTAAAGGCTACACAGAGGTGGGTGATTCAAGCCATTTAGGAAGGTATTCAAGGCAGAATCAGAGCAACAAGCCCAGAGCTGGTGGCTCATGCCTGTAATCCTAGCTACTCAGGAGGCTGAGTTCTGAGGATCGCTGTTCAAAGCCAGCCCAGGCAGGAAAGTCCAAGACTTTTATCTCCAATAAACCACTCAGAAAATGGGAAGTGGCGCTGTGGCTCAAGTGGTAGAGCACTAGCCTTGAGCTGAAGAGCTGAGGGATAGTGCCCAGGCCCAGAGTTCAAGCTCCATAACTGACCAAAAAAAAAAAAAGAAAAGAAAAGATATTTCCACACTGGAAAATAAAGTCCATTAAGGAAAAATCAATCATTCTCTTTATAAATGATTTGCCAAGTGAGTGCCTATACAAACTTCATAGTCCACAAACTTACAAGACTAAAATGCTTACCACTGGGTGGTGTGGGAAGCTGAGAAAGAGAGAAGAGCAGCTGTATGACTACTCCAACAGTGAGAAGGCCAGGGGGAGATGCTTGGAGAGGGGGAGAGGGGCTTCCAGACTCTTCCACTGCATGACAGGGACCCTCAAGGCTGTGGAGCTCTGCATACCATCAAAAGGAACCCAGGGAAAAGGCACTAACTTTCACCTGATCCATGTGGCATGTCTTTCCCCATTTGACAGAAAGTTTCTTCTCACCTATCAGAAATAGCTGCTTAAATTTACAGTATGCAGTCTGGATTTCCTGCAAGGATAGGAAGTTGCTTGATAGATCTTCAGTTTTAACAATTTCATAGGGTGGCCTGTGGATGGTCTTGTAAATTCTAGGCATCAAAAAGTAACATGAGATTAGAAGAGCAAATACGAATTTACAATAGCTTGCTTTTCTTGAGTACCACCATGACCTGTGCTAAGAGGCCTGAAGGTATCTCCTACTAAACCCTCATCTATAAGGAACCTGCTTTAAGACTGTGTCCTCAAACAATGGATTTGGACATGCGGTCAAAGAGTAGAATTGTCCAGTCCAGGGTTATCAAGGTTCTCAACTGAAAAGAGCCATGATGTGAGCCAAAAATTTAACTCCAGAGCTTACTTTTTTGTTGTTTTTAATTTATTGACTTTGGATTTTTCAAATTTTTATATATTTATTTAGTTTTTGTCAGTTGTGGGGCTAGATCTCAGGGCCTGAGATCTCAGGGCTATTTTGCTCAAGGCTACTGCTCTACCAAGGCTACTGGTCAAGGCACAGCTCTATTTCTGGTTTTCAGAATTGGAATCTCACAAGACTTTCCTGCCTGGACTGGCTTTTAACCACAATCCTCAGATCTCAGCCTCCTGAATAGTGAAGATTACAGGCATGAGCCACCAGTGGCTAGCTTAAAATTTTATTTTGAAAAGTTTTACACATGGGCTGGGAATGTGGCTTAGTGGTAGAGTGCTTTCCTAGCATGCATGAAGCCCTGGGTTCAATACTTCAGTATCATATAAACACAAAGGTCGGAAGTGATGCTGGCTCAAGTAGTAGAGTGGAAGCCTTGAGCAAAAAAAAAAAAGCTCAGGGACACTACCCGAGCTCTGAGTTCAAGCCCTAGGACTGGCAAAAAAAAAAGAAAAGAAAAGAAAAAAGGATTTCTGAAACGTACAAGACAATAGTACAATGATATATGCTATGACCTAGATTTGCCCAGGTGTTAATATAATAGACATCATGCATACTTCAGCATGCATCTCTAAAAACAGTGCAGCTGACATTCCTAATAACTGTTATATTGATTCCTTTCAAAATAATTTTAAAAATGTCTGCAACTTGTATTCCTCTGGCACTGAGTATCAGCATGTAAACAGAGGTGGACACACTACTAAGAACTATTTCCTACTTAAAAAACAAGAACTGAACTAGACAAGAACAAATGTAGAATGAATGAGTACTGACCCATCCAAGAAGCTCTTCTGGATTTGCAAAATGCCATCATCCTGTTCTTTGGGCAGTGCTGACATTTTCAAAAGGGCACTTCCATTGTGGCAGGACCAACACCATATCTGCAGAGGAGAAAAATGTTTGCTAGATGGAATATTCACAACCAAAAGGGAGCAGGTAAGCTTAGTATTTCAGTGCAGACAGGGAACTTTGTCACTTCAATAAGAAATAGTTGCACATACACAAGCCCCAGAGGATTTCCTCAATAAAAACACTGATTTAGTCTTAAAAAAAAATAAAAGTATTAGGTAGTCAGATTTAGACTTGCATATGGTCTACCAATCACCTTTGACTTGGCTTTAGTGCTGATAACCTAGATGATGATAACAACATTATTTTTATCGTTATGATTAGGACAGCAGCTATCACTGGAGTATAACTTAAGTGTCAGGCATTTTACAGGTGCTAATTCATTTAAGTCTCAGAGTGACTCCCAGTGATAGGTATGGTTATTATCTTCACTTCAAGCAAAAACCTCAGGCTCAGAGTGACTTGAAGAACTTTCCCAAGTTGTAGCTTCAGTGTGACTCTACCAGTCATGCTCTAGTGGATGGCAGAGTGCAGCTCTCATCAATGGAGTGTGTATACCAGGAGAACAGAGTGACTACTCAATCAATACTGTATGGTGGGGACTCAACAGGGAAAGCACTGCACTAGGTTGTGAGAGCATAAAGATGACCAAGACTGTCTTGGTGGAAGGCCTATCCACTTCCTTATGCCTTCATAGAGTTCCTTCTATAAGTTTTTTATAGTTTTTTACTTTATAAGTCCTTGATATCCATGGTCAAGATAATTCCTAGGCCTTGGTTTTTTGAGACTATTACAAACGAGTTACTTTCCTGACTTCAGTCTCATTTGTTGACATACAGAAAAGCTACTGTTTTGTTTGTCTGTTTTTTTTTTGTCAGTCCTGGGGCTTGAACTAGGGCCTAAGCACTGTTCCTGAACTTCTTTTGCTCAAGGCTAGCACTCTACCGAACCACAGCACCACTTCCAGCTTTTTCTGTACTGAGGAATGGAACCCAGGGCTTTATGCATGCTAGGCAAGCACTCTACCACTGTCACATTCCCAGCTCAAAGGTACTGATTTTTACTTTTATTTGTTTTTTGGTCAATCATAGGGCTTGAACTCTGGGCCTGGGAGCTGTCCCTTAGCTTTTCAGCTCAAGGCTAGTACTCTACCACTTGAGCCACAGTGCCACGTCCAGCCTTTTCTGCTTATGTGGTGCTGAGGAATTGAACCCAGAGCCTCATGCATGAAAGACAAGCACTCTACCACTAAGCCACCTTCCTAGCCCAAAGCTACTGATTTTAATGGACTGATTTTATATCTTGCTACTTTACCAAAGTTTTTAAATCAGTTCTAGTAGCTTGGGGAAAGAGTTTATGGTGTTCTTTAAATATAGGATTATGTTATATGCAAACAGGGATAATTTTACTTCTTCCTTCCCTATTTGGATCTTTTCTTTCCCTATTTGTCTTTTTCTTGCCTTATTATTCAAATTCATGTAATACCCATCAAAATACCAACACCATTCTTCAATGAGACAGAGAAAATAATCCAACAATTCATATGGAACCACAAGAAGGTCTAGAATACTGAGTAGAAAAAGTCGTGCTGGAGGTATAAAAATAACAAACCTCAAACTCTACTACAGAGCTATAGTAATGAAGACAGTTAGGTACTGGTACAAAAACAAGCCTGAGAATCAATGAAACTGAATAGAAGACCCAGAAATAAACCCACAGACCTATAGCCAAAAACACAAAAGACAGCCTCTTCAACAAGTGGTGCTGGGAAAACTGGATATCCACATGCAAAAACTGAATCTGTATCTATCACCTCAATGTCAGACCTGAAACCATGCAACTATTACAAGAAGGAATAGAAGAAACATTAAGACTACTTGGCATAGGCAGAAACTTTCTCAGTAAAGAATCAGAACACAGCAAATCAAAGGAAGACTTGATAAATGGAATTGTATCAAACTAAAACTTCTGCACAGCAAAGGAATAGCCAACAAGCTAAAGACAGCCTACAGTATAGAGCTTTGTTGCCAGCTTTGCATCAGAGAATGACTTAATATTCAGAATACACACAGAGCTTAAAAATTAAGCCCTTAAAGAACCAATAACCCAATTAATAAGCAGGCTAATGAGACAAAGAGAGACTTCTCAGAAGTAGAAGTAAAACCGGCCAATAGACACATTAAGAAATGTTCAAGCCGGGCACCAGTGGCTCATGCCTATAATCCTAGCTATTCAGGAGGCTGAGATCTGAGGATCATGGTTCAAAGCCAGCCCGGCAGGAAAGCCTGTGAGACTCTTATCTCCAATAAACCACTAGAAAACCGCAAGTGGCGCTGTAGCTCAAGCAGTAGAACATTCACCTTGAGCTGAAGAGCTGAGAGAGAGTGCCCAAGCCCAGAGTTCAAGCCCCTATAACCAGCAAAAAAAGAAAAGAAAAGAAAAGAAATGTTCAATATCTCTGACCATAAAGGAAATGCAAATCAAAATAACACTGAGATTCTACCTTACCCCAGTTAGAATGGCCATTATAAAAAAAACAACTAATAACAAATGCTGGCAAGGATGTGACCAAAAGAGAACTGTAATACACTGCTGGTGAGAATGTAAACTTGTGGAAAGCAATATGTTGGTTCCTGAAAAAATTAAACATAGAACTACCCTATGATCCAGCATATTACTCCTGGGCATTTATCCAAAAGATTATCCACAAAGATATAGGAAAATCACCAACACAACCACCAGCATTATTCACCATCGCCAAGGTATGAAATCAGACCAGAGTATACACAAAGGAATTTTACACTTTCATTAGAGAAAGTGATATTGAATCATTTGTAAAGAAATGGAAAGACAGGGCTGGGAAGGTGGCTCAGTGGTAGAGCGCTTGCCTTGCATGCATGAGGCCCTGGGTTCATTTCCTCAGCACCACATAAGCAAAAGGAAAAAAGCCGGAAGTGGCACTGTGGCTCAAGTGGTAGAGCGCTAGCCTTGAGATGAAGAGCTGAGGGACAGCGGCCAGACCCAGAGTTCAGGCCCTACAACCGGACCCCCCCCCAAAAAAAAAGAAATGGAAAGACCTAAAAGAATTATGTTAAGTGAAGTAAATCAAGTCCAGAGAGACAAAGGATGTATGCTTTTCCTCTTGTGGAATTAATTTATAAGCCTCTAAGTAAATATCTTGAGTGGTATGCAAGTATATACAAATGTATTAACTAAAGAAAGTATGGTAGATTAGAACTTTGCCTTAGAAACATAAAGTTAAAGTTGAACAAAATGAACACCAGGAAATGGGTACTTGAAAGGGGTGAGTGGGGAAGAGGTAAGGGGGGTAGAGGAAGAGAAGGAGTGGGGAGGAATGTAGTCAAGAATTAAATGTATATCCTACAAAATTTAAAAAAAGGGAGAAGCTGGGCGCCGGTGGCTCACGCCTGTAATCCTAGCTACTCAGGAGGCTGAGATCTGAGGATCGCAGTTCAAAGCCAGCCCGGAAAGGAAAGGCCATGAGACTCTATCTCCAATAAAACCACCAGAAAACTGGAAGTGGCGCTGTGGCTCAAGTGGTAGAGTGCTCACCTTGAGCTTGAAGATCTGAGAAACAGCACCCAAGCCCCATAACTAACAACAACACACACAAAAAAAAAAAGTGAGAGAAGAGATAGGATGGGAGGGATGGGTAGAACATTGACAGGGATGACATTAGTCAAAATGCATTATATGTGTGTGTGTGTATATATATATATATATATATATATATATTATATATATAAGCTACTTTGTTAAATGGCAACTCCTTTGTACAACAACTTAAATAAAGAAAATAAATGAAAACAAAAAAAATGTGGCCATATTGGGAACACTGGGCCCATAGTCCCTCATGGAACAAATGGGCTGCTACTAAATAGCTGCCCTGGACTAGACAGAATCTCTGGTTCACAGCAATGCTGTGCTTATTATCTTTCTGGCTTCAGGAGCTTCTGGGCTTGCTTCACCATCTTTCTTCCCATATGGGAATGACCATTTTAGTGAAAAAGCTATCTGTACAGTGCAGCATTTACTTGTAATTCTCATTCATTACTAAATTCCTTGTAGGCTCAGGAACTCACAGCCACCAATTAGAAACGGGAGTGGCTACCACAGTCTTGGTTTCTTTCATCAGTGACACACTTAATATTGTTCCCATCCCATACTATTCTGTGAAAATGAAGAAGCAATTCTTGTCATCTCTGGAAGAAAGAATAACCACACTATACCAAGATTCGTAGTGCCAACCCAAATAAAGCACAATCCTACCACTCTTAAGAGTGGTCAGCTAAGGTTCAAAATGACTTAGGTGTTAAACCAGTTTTGCTTTCCATAGGAAACAATATTATAATCTTCTTCCAGCTTTTCAGTGTCACTGCTAAAAACTTAAGTGCATCTGTGAGAACTTTAAAACTGTCTCAGGGCGTCTCATGTTCAAGAGACTTCTCTAGGGAGTTTCTATGTTATTTCTGGATTATTCTTGGACTGAGGACAAACTCTTGAATACCAAAGCCAAGGCTTTAAGTAGGATCACTTCGTTTGGATGGGCCAGTGAGCAACCAAAGCCTCTTAGCATTTCCAGATGAACTTACTGGTATGCCATGACCCTGAAAGCGTTTCACATCCTCCTCAGGAAGAGGGGTGGGGACAACAAAGTATGCTGGCAACCTAGAAGAAAGAGAGGCCATCAGATTCTAATACTACACTCAATTCACAAAGTATGAAAGTTCAATTTCAACGAATACAAGGAAGCTGAGCATTATAAAGCATTATAGCCGGGCGCCAGTGGCTCACGCCTGTAATCCTAGCTACTCAGGAGGCTGAGATCTGAGAATCATGTTTCAAAGCCAGCCCAGGCAATGAAAGTCCATGAGACTCTTGTCTCCAATAAACCATTCGAAAACCGGAAGTGATGCTGTGGCTCAAGCCGAAGAGCGCTTGCCTTGAGCTGAAGAGCTTAGGGATAGCGCCCAAGCCCAGAGTTCAAGCCCCACGACAGACCAAAAAAAAGCATTATAAGAATGATCATATATCCCTCCTAAGAAAAACACCTAGCCAAGGCACAAAGAACTGGGGTTATTGATTTAGCTCAGTGGAAAAGTGCTTGTCGAGCAAATGCCAAGTCCCTGAGTTTGTTCAGTCCTTAGCATCAAAACGAAAACAAAAACAAAAAACAGCTTAGATGAACTCTCCCAGTTTGATGTAAAATAGTCTGATCAAGTCAGTCAGAAACGAAAATTTAAATCCTAGCCCTGTGTCTGATTTTTGTTCAACTCTAGATAAATTTCTATACCTTTTCTGAATCTGTTTCCTCATCTACATCTATAGTGACAAAATTGAAGTTGATACAGCTTAGTGGTGAGAATTTGTCTAGCATTTGCAAGGCCCTGGATCCTCAACAACACACTTAAAAAAAAAAAGTGGTGGTGTATGGGAAGGTTGGAAAATTCATTCTGGAAAGGTGGATGAATTCCAAAATCAGGAGTGACAATAACAATATAAGTACCTGTGTTTCATTCAATTTAACTGTCTGAAAAAAAAGTAATTACGATTAATGCCTGCTTTTTTAAATGCTCTGACAATGAAAATTTGAGTCAGAGATTGCTCTAACACTTCATATGAATTACTCGTTTAATCTTCCCAGTGAGTGAATTATTCACATTTTAGAGAGAGAGACAACACTGAGGCCTTTCCCAGGTTATAAACTTGTAAGCATATAGTAGGCACCTGAACAGAGGCACTACTGACTTCAACCTTTTTTTTTTTTTTTGTCGGTCGTGGGGCTTGAACTCTGGGCCTGGGCACTGTCCCTCAGCTCTTCAGCTCAAGGCTAGTACTCTACCGCTTGAGCCACAGTGCCACTTCCAGTTTTTTAGTGATTTATTGGAGATAAGAGTCTCACGGACTTTCCTGCCCGGGCTGGCTTTGAACCACAATACTCAGATCTCAGCCTCCTGCGTAGCTAGGATTACAGGCGTGAGCCACTGGCACCTGGCTCTAACTTCAACTTTTTAAAAAAATTAGCCTCTAAAGAGAACAAGCCTCCTAAATAATAGGTCATAGGAAAGAAGATTTTCAGAGTTGCAGAGATAAAAGATGTACCTGAACACTCAGCTGGCAGATGAAAATTTATTAGAAACTGCCTAAGATTCACTACTGTACACATCCCTCCCTCAAATAGCTCAAAATAAACTCTCATGAGAAATACAAATGCCCACAATGCTAAGATGTAATAAAAAAACTCATTAGTGTTTGCATGTGTACTTTATGCTTGATCTAAATCTGTTAAGTTACAGGTCACTGTATAAACCTTTAAAGCGATCATAACTCTAATGTACATCAATTCATAGGAGAACAAACAATATATTATATAAACTATCAAAATGTATACTCTGGGAAATTCTATTAGACAAATAGCTTTATTTCCTCAGCAAGTTATTAGAAATATATGATAGATAAGAACCTATAGATAAGGCAATTCATGAGCTGTGGCTCATGCCTATAATCTTAACTACTGAGGAGGCTGAGATCTGAGGAGCTAAGTTTGAAGCCAGCCTAGGCAGGAAAGTCTGTGAAACTATTATTTCCAATTAACCAACAGAAATCTTGGAAGTGGAACTGTGGCTCAAAATGGTAGAGAACTAGACCTGTGCAAAAGAGCTCAAGGACAGTACCCAGGCCCCAAGTTCAAGCTCCACAATTAAGGGGGCAGGGGAGAAAAAGAAGCAGCAGCAGCTAAGGCTACAGGCTTGAATCATAGCACTTATCTACCAAACCTAGTCTTGAACAGCTTCCTTAAAAAGTAGCATTGATGCTGGGTGCTGGTGGCTCACACCTGTCTGTAATCCTAGCTACTTAGAAAAGCTGAGATCTGAGGATCATGATTCCAAGCCAGGCCAGACCAGGAAGGAAAGTCTGTGAGACTCTTGTCTCCAATTAACCACAGAAAACCAGAAGTGGCGCTATGGCTCAAGTGGTAGAGCACTCACCTTAAGCTGAAAAGCTCAGGGACAGTGCCCAGGCCCAGAGTTCAAGTTCCAGGACTGGGAGGAAAAAAGGAGCAGTGAGGGGCTGGCAATATGGCTTAGTGGCAGATTGCTTGCCTAGCTAGTATGCATTGAAGCTCTGGGTTTGATTGCTCAGTACCACAGAAAAAGCCAGAGATGGCGCTGTGACTCAAGTGGTAAGAGTGCTAGCCTTGAGCAAAAGAAACTTAGGGACAGTGCCCAGGCCCTGAGTTCCAGCTCCAGGACTGGAAGGGGGAAAAAAAAAGTAGCACTATGCTGAGCGCTATCAATGAACTCGAGTTAACCATCCACAAAATATCTTGTGTTTCCAGGCAAGAGCCCTTTGCACAGGGTGACCAGTATGGGTTTTGGGGTGGGACAGCGTTAGAGTCAGGAGTCAAAGATAGACCCTCAGGTACTGCTTAAGAGTTCTGTTCTATACCAAGACCAGCGGGAAGCCACAGAAGGAGAGGTATGATCAATGTACATGGGATGGTCAATGCACATAGGAAGAATGTCTGAGTTTGTTGTACAGACGAAGACTAGAAGCTGAGGGTGGGATGGGATGATGGGAAAGACTACATAGACAGTACTATGGTAGGACAGAAACAACGCACAGTCTTTCATATATCATGCCTGTTCTTGCTGTGTGCCTGCAATAAGCACTCCAAGTATCCAAATACGGATAAATTGCTTAACTCAGTGTCTTTCACACACTGTCACCTACACAAATATCTCAAATCAGTATATGGCTCTTAAAAAAAGAATTCTGGTAGCAGGGCATAAGTAGTACATTGCCTGTAGTTCCAGCTACTCAGGAGGCTTAAGTGGCAAGACTGCGTAGGCCTGGGAAGGAAATCAAGGTGAGCCTAGGCAATGGAGCAATCTTCTTTTAAACAAACAAGCCCCACAATTACTAGGAATAGGGACATTCATTGGTATCAACCTTGCATCACACCACTGAGGAGCAGGAGTTTCTAATCTCTTTCTGAGTAGAAGCTAGCTTTTCCTTTTCAAGCTTTTTCACTGGGGAAAGGAGAAAGAGCAAAGAGCAAGGTAGGGCCAATAGTGAAGTTCTAGGTGGTTTCAGGACTCTGCAGGCCCCTCCCACTGTCACCACAGTTCACTCCTGTGTGAGGTGTCATCCTATAAAGGTCTCAGATTGATCGAAACCAAAACTATGCTGCAGAGGCCTATCAGACAAAATACAAAGGCCCTACCAGGGCTGGGAAGGTGGCTCAGTGGTAGAGCGCTTGCCTTGCATGAGGCCCTTGCTTCAATTCCTCAGCACCACATAAGCAGAAAAAGCTGGAAGTGGCGCTGTGGTTCAAGTGGTAGAGTGCTAGCCTTGAACTGAAGAGCTGAGGGGCAGTGCCCAGGCCCAGAGTTAAAAAAAAAAATAGCCCTACAAACTGAAAGCATCTCATAAAACTGTTAACAGAGTGATAGGAACTATGTTCCAAAATGACAAGACTCAGATTTCTAAAAACAGATTATGTAAGCAAAGCCATCCTTTAAAAATGTACGCCCATCACGCTCTACCTCTGCCCTGACTCCCCTTATTGTTCTGAGAATCAGAAAGGATTACACTTCTGAAAACATTCATATGGTCCTTTCTCTCCCCTTACCTCCTACTGCTCTTTTCCTCCACTTGTCTCTAGGCCCGTTATTTACACAGCTCTTACTATTCTCTCTGCCCAAAATACTTGCCAGGCAACTAATCTGGCTTAATCTTCACTTATTCAAGACTTTGCTCAAAGGATGAGGCCCCCATTCATGGTAAGCAAGTGTACTGCCATTGACCTAAACCTCCAGCTCTGCAGCACCTTCCTATTAATATATCTTATTTCTATATTCTATGCCGCCCTCTGTTCGAAAGCTCCAGAGCTTTGCTGAGCACTTAGAGCTATAGTAAGACATTCTCTGGCACATAATAGGCATTCCAAAATTGTTGTTCAATTAATCAAGTTTTTTGAGTAATAAAAGAAAATTAAACAACATAAATTTGGAAATGCCTATAAGGTTTATACTTGGCAATAACAACAACAACAAAATGGTGTTTTTGTTGTTGTTTTTTGCCAGGCCTGGGGCTTGAACTCAGGGCCCGGGTGCTGTCCCTGAGCTTCTGTCTCAAGGCTAGCACTCTACAACTTGAGCCAAAGCTCTACTTCCAGCTTTTTGTGGTTAATTGTAGATAAGAATATCATGGAGCTAGGCATCAGTGGCTCATGCCTATAATCCTGGTTACTCAGGAGGCTGAGATCTAAGGATCACAGTTCAAAGCCAGCCTAGCCAGGAAACTCCTTGAGACTCTTATCTCCAATAAACCACTCAGAAAACCTGAAGTGGCACTGTGGGTCAAGTGATACAGGCTCCCCTTGAGCTGAAGAGCTGAGGGATAGTGCCCAGGCCAGAAGTTCAAGCCCCATGACTGACCAAAAAAAAAAAAAGAATCTCATGGACATTCTTGCCTGGGCTGGCTTTGAACTATGACCCTCACATCTCAGCCTCCCAAATAGCTAGGATTACAGGCGTCAGCTTGTAATCAGACTCAAAAAGTATTTTAATAGCTACTTTGAAAGTTTCTTTTGCTGGGCACTGGTGACTCATGTCTATTATCCTAGCTATTCAGGAGGTTAAGATACAGAGGATCAAGGTCAATCTGAACAGAAAAGTATATGGAGCTCTGTCTCCAAAACAGCCAGCAAAAACCCAGACTAGAGGGGTAACTCAAATGGTAGAACCATAGCCTAGTCAGCACACTCAGGGGTAGAAGTTTCCTTTAAAAGCTAGCATTGAGGTTCTGAGGCTGTGGTTCAGTGATAAGAGTATTTCCCAAATCCTGAGGTTCCCCCCTCCCTATTTTTTTTTTGGTTGGTTGTGGGTCTTGAACTCAAGGTACTGTTCCTGAGCCTCTTTGTGCTCAAGGCTAGCCCCCTACCATTTGAACCACAGCACCACTTCCAGTTGTTGAGTGGTTAATTGGGAATAAGAGTCTCAAGAGGACTTTCCTCAGGGCTGGCTTTGAACTTTGAGCCTCAGATCTCAGCCTCCTGAATAGCTAGGAATACAGGTGTGAGCCACCAGCACCCAACATAAGTCCCATTTTTAACAATAAAAACTACTGTTGATAAGAAGAAAAAACCCTCATATACTGCTAGTGGCTATGTCAAAGAGGTTCCTCAAAGAGTTAAACACAGTTGTGATACATTCTGGAAATTCAATTCTTAGATTATATACTAAGGAGAGAAAAAAAAATCCTCAAAGAGTTAAA